GATCCATGAAAATGTGTATTAAATAGAAAATAAATGGACTCTTAAGCAGCGTTTCATTCCTTACTGCTTTTAAAACAATGGAAATGACATGCACAGAAACTAGAACTGAAAATGGTCTGAAAAAGAGGACAAAGTTCCTTGAAAGAAGTTTGTAGGACTCCTTTCTCTGTTGCCTGGAAAATACTCTTCAGCATAAAGTATCCTGAAGCTTCTGGCCAAGGGTCTATACAAACTGTTCAAACAATAAAAATAAATAGTTTAGCTTTATCAACAATATAGATGATGTAGTTCTATAGCATATTAGGTCTTGCAAAAAAACAAAAAATGTCAGAAGGAACAAAAAAGTTCTCCAGTCCTTTCTTCTATTTTGAAATGATTTTATCATAACTAGGTAAACTCTTCATATGATATCTCCAAGGAATTATGCCTTTTTATAAAGGGCTTCCAATATATTAGTCCCTTAATTTTTTTCAGAACTTAGATGTTCTATGGGGACACACTACCATGTTCTTCCAACTGACTTAGGCAAAAACGATTACAAAAAAGAAGCAACCAAGGAGTGTAATGGCTACTTATGCAGCTTATGGTACCAATCAGGTTAGCTATTGAAGAGATACAATTCTCCTTTCCCTCTCTCTATTCGCTGGCATCCAGCACTAAAAATGGAACTAAGTGAAATGCGCATGTGTCAAGGTATCATGGCAGAAAAAACATGAACTGCCTCTACCTATGAAAGGAAACTTTTTTTTTTTTCAAAAGATGAATGCTTAAATTTGGTTGCTATGCTTTCTTAAAACTATGTATCGATTTATATACGCTAAAAACAGATTCATATCTTCAGTGGCTATCACTGATAAAAGAATAGAAACTCCCCGTTCTAGGATACTGAGAAAAATAGGTACTGATGAAGAAAATAAAAGGTTACCATAAGCTGAATTTTAAATATAATTTTTGAAATTATACTGTCACTGATACAGAATTCTTTTTGTTTTTAGTAGAATAAAATACTTTTTGTATATTATACATCTGTAATAATTACACTGTACATATACAATATCTTTCTTTCAAAAATGCAAAAAACGCTTCACAAAATGCATTCAACAGATAATTATGTAACATTTCACCTTTTATAAAAATTCCTTAGTAAACAATTTGATTTGACCCAACTAAAGGATTACCAAGCTTTAATCACATTTGTTAACTTATTTGTGTACTTATTTTTATGTTTCTACTTGTAAGAAAGTTGTTGATTTCTCAATTTAATCTTTGTTTTGATCCTCTGATAATACAGTATGTGGTATTAAGACCTCAACCTCAAAATAGTCAGAATACTCTGTAAGAATTTCAAATAAAAAATCCTGATGCTTTGCAGCAGCTCAGAAATATATAGTCTTATATCACTTGCCAGATTTCTCCACAATATACAGAATTGGAGCCTTACTACTTTCTGGGTTACCATTTCTATGTATTTTAGTCAAGAAAAAAATATTTATTTATATTTATTTATATTTCAAATTTAATCACTGCCCATCTCACTCAATGAGCGACTCTGGGCTGTTTACAATAAAATAAAATGGCAATTTAATATAAATGCTGTACTTTCCATAGTTTGGATCCTAAAGTGCTTCTGTGTTCACATCCCCTATGAGAGGTTGAATACATAAAGAAGAAAAATACAGTAATCAAAACTCCACTGATAATCATTTTGAATCTAGTCTGATTCACTGTGTGTTTACCAAATGAGTTCATATTATTATTATTAACCTAAAACTGACATTTTTTTAATTACTAAAGCTCAGTCATCAATGCATGCAGGACTGGGTGCTTAAACACATTTTGATCAAAAGTTTTGTCACACCTAATTCTGCACAGGGATTTGTTTTTAACTGTCTTTTATATTTAATACCCCCATTTTTACATTAATGTATTTCCCAATAATACAGCCTTTCTTGTATCTTCTGAAAAAGAAAAAAACCCCTCTAATTTCAAGGTTTTCGTGGAGGCTTTGCTCTCCTTTCATACACTGGAAATGTATGTATCCTGAAAACACTTTTTTTTTTCAGCTCTTACAACTAAAATAAAAGATTAAAGCTGAAATTTAACTGTTATGGACACACATATACACAGTCTGAGAAATAGCAGCTGCTATTCAATACATCTCTGTAAATAATATTACTACAGTATATGCACAGAAAAAAATAGATGAGATGCTGGGATGCAGAATTCTGTTTCTTCATCTGCTTTGTTTTAGTATTAACATAACTTTAAAATACATGTTGAATAGCAATGTACATTTTTCCCATTTAAATATTGTAATTGTGCTCTCCAAAATATTTACATAGTTCCTTGCAAGTAGTAGTTTTTATTAGTGATTCTATCAAATTAAGCAATCTTATAACTGCGTTATGAAGAACTGTGTTATATATCTAACATACATACATACATACATATATGTATATATATATATATATATCTGTGTTATGTATCCAATCTAAACCTGAGCAAGGTATAAAAGGCAGTGAAGAACAATCAAAGGCTGCAGCTGCAGACCTGTTCAATATCATAGATCTCTTTTGGGCAATCTGCAGACAAGATTAATGGTGCATTCTCTGTCACCACCACATCATCTTCAATGCGTATTCCAATGCCACGGAATCTTTCAGGGGCACCTGTATCATCTTCAGGTATGTAGATGCCTAGAAATAAAAGTAGTGATCAAAAGCTAGCAGATTCAGTTTGCAAGTTATACAGGAGATCTGTAACATATTCCTTCAGGGTTTAGAAGGCATAGCACAAAAGGCAGGTTTTATCTCCATAGGTCAAGAATCAATAGCAAGTGTACTTTCACCTTGTTCCAATTCATATAATGCAATACATGTAACTTCACTTTGTACCAGTACTGGAATCAGTGGACTAAATTTACTTTTCACAAGCTACTTTCTTTACTAGAGTCTCTTCCATGATATAAGTCCATTTAAACACCCTTTTAAAATTATTTTCCCACAGACTAAAGATCATGAAGGTTGTTTGTTCTTAGTTAAATCTGTGAAGTAAATAGCAGCGTTTCTTGGATAGTTCTCAATGCCTCTAGGATGACTGCCATCTCGCATTCACTGGGGTGAATGATGGAAACTGAGAGAGGATATGTTAAGAATTTTAAGTTATTTAAAAACAAAACAGATAAGGGTCGTATATTTTAAAAAACTGAAAACAATTGCATTGAAACTGTTGAGCAATTGCTACAGCAATCACTACACAAATAACTGGGCATGAGGTAACTAGTTGAAACTGCTTCTTTTCAAGATATCACACACAGATACTCACACAAATCTTTTTCTATTGTTTTCACTGGTGTATTATTTTACCTGGCTCAATGGTGATCACCATGCCTGGCTGGAGGAGGGTTGATCGGGATACATCAGGTGTATCATGAACATCCATTCCCAGATAATGCCCTACATGATGTGGACAGTATTTCCGAACAGCCTACGAGGCAGAAAATAATACATTCCTAAAGCAAGCAAAATGTGGAGTGATGTGTCTTCAACACAAAATTTACTAGAAATATATACTGAAAAGGAAATATAAAATTAATTGGTTGTTCTTGCTTACAAATGCAACTAATATGATTTGTGTAGGCACCATCTTCTGCCTTGTTTCTATCAAACCTGCTGGTTGCTATGATGGCAACAAACTCGGGTCTTTAAGCAAAATATATAAATGATTATCAATTTGGTATTAAAGATAATAATCTCTGTTTTGAGCTTCAAGGAAGCTTTGATCTTTTAGTTGGCAGATTACCTGGAATTGCGAGGCCATCACATACTTCAGTACTTTACCTAAATTTTACATGATGCAATATTTATTCAAAACCATTTGATCTAAACTTGGTTTCTTCAACAAAACCTTGTCACTGTTTCTAGCAGACCAGTATGAACCTCACCATTCTTCAGGCAGGTTGTTATTACTGAGGTTCTGAAATTTCTCAGTTCCTGTGAATTTCACAAGTCAGAATAGGCAAGGATCTCAAGAGGAAGTAGTACGCCTCACTCTGCTAAGCAGTTTGTCTATGTTGTTGAACTGCACAGTATTATATTTTCATCATGGTAGCCATTATGTAGAAATATTCTTAAGAGTCTGACAAAGAAAAATCCCAGGCCCACTTTCCATTTTAAAATGTTCTCAATATATAACTTGCAAGAGTAGCACAGCTCATCATGCTCTGTCTTGGTATGAAATTTCTTCCTATATTTGCCAACTGAAACATAAGTTAATGCTACCTTTACAATATCCACTGACTTATGCTAATCTTATTGGAAGCTGCACTATGCAAAACTATACTCTCTGTCCATCTAATAGTGTCTGTGCCAAGAGGTTGCAGCTCTTTAGAGGTCTATGAGTTTTTCCCTGTCCTATTAGAGATGTTGGGAGGATGAATACTGGATTGTTTGGCTAAGTACATATTTAAGGATTATTTTATTGGATCCCTCAATTTGTGGCAAGTTTCAAAATACTGCTGTAGTGATGCATTTTTTATTTGTCCCAACATTCCTGGGAGAGGTGATTTAAAAAAGGTAGAAAGAGCTTGTGCTGAAATATTATCAGTGCTGATATCTATCTTTGAAAGATCAAGGAAGTAGCATGTTGTATTACACAGGTAAGATGAATCAAAGTGAGTCATTAACTGACTTATAGAACTGGCCTTTTCCACATACATGAGAAAAAACATGTGAAAATATTTTTCATAATTATTACCACAATCTCAAAATGAGGCATTTTTCTCTCCAGTTTAGCAATTCAGTTTAATAATCTTACTGAGAAGAAGAGTCCCACCTCTGATCTCTACCTCTTCAATTAATACTTGTTAGGAATTAAAACTACTGTATGTACATAATCTAAATGTTCTGCCATCTGCTGGATGAAAGAGAAACTGTACTACTATTAACCTTTGGCTTCCCACAAAACAGTATTTCTTTTAGACCTGCAATGAATACAAGAAAGCTCATTCAACATCCATATCTGCAGGAAGCTGCAACTTCAAAGTGAAAATGGACTGATTTGAAGGACCTCTTCACTGTTTTTTTAGCTAAGAAAAGTAGCAGGCTAAAAGTAGCAGCAGATACACAAGGAGACCAAGTACCTTGAAGACGTGGCTCTCACTAGTGCTTTCCTTTAGGATTCCCAACTCTTTTAGCTTCTGTCCAATGAGAGTTAGCATTAAATTGTAGATGTTTTCTAGGCTCACACCTGAAGAACAAACTCTTAGGCATGACTTTTGGACTTCCAGTATAGCTTGGTACAGCTCTGCTTGGGGACTAGTGAACCTGAGAATGAGAGGAAACACAAATCACCTCAAGGGGGATTTAAGCAGAAAGAAAAAGTAATATTAAATGCTAAGATATATGTATAAAGTAATTATGTGGCACAGTCCTCTGGATTTGTTTTACTCCAAAAAGTTGGTGGAGGATTGCATGCTTGAACACCTCTTGTTTCAAACATTTCATACACAGTGAAAAACAGTAATTAAGGAAGCCAGAACTACTTCCCCTAAACTGGAAATTTCACCCTGGAAAAATATCAGTCAAAGTGATAAATGAAAATTCCTCATTTGCATTCTGAAATGGAGTAGTGGCATGCATGCTTTTCTGAATGATCTGGTTTTGCATTACCACAAACTGAAGCCATTTCTCAGATTCTGGAGTATGTGAAGCAGGGTGATTTAGTATACAGTATTGAGCTAAAAACTGCAACTACAGTATAGGCAAGGAAGTTTTCTGAAGCACAATTAATGAAAAAATGACAATGGTGAAATATTTTCAGGAAAACCTGGAACCGCAACCAACTGGATGTTCCTTTGCTGAGACAGGACCTACCTGCCATTGATGGGCCAAGTGCGGGTAATGTCACTCACGTAACAAGAGTATTCACATCCTCCATCCAATAAAACCATTTCTCCATCCTGGAGCACAAGAAAAAGCAATTACTTGGCACTTAAGAATTTCACTTAAATAGTGGTATAAAAGAGTTTAAAAAACCCTGGAATTTATCCTTAGTGAGGTAAGTTATGTATGCTTTTCATCAAACAATAGTTCAGCAGAGTGTAGCTTTTTTAGCTGTAGCGCACTGTCCTTCCCTGCAAGCCTTGCTGTTCAGCTTAATTTAACACTCATCACCACTCTCTAATTATTTTGGGCCCCTGTAGTCCCACAACTGGCAGTTGGATTATATGACTTGAAGTCCAACACAAAGATGGGGAAGTCTGATCTAACTTAAATTAATTTAACAGCCGTTGCTATGTTGTCTTCATTTAGGTGACATCTTTTAATCACACCCACTTTTGTTGGTGCCAATAGTGGTCATATTCATCAGGCACTTTGATAGGGAAGGAGGAGGCAAAGAGAAGTCCTCCTGAAAAATTAATTTTTCTTACAAAACAATTGCCCAAGCGAACCAAATCATATGAGTAATGGCAGACATTATTGGGGGGGGGAGCATCTGAATAGAGATAAATATACATTGCTTTTGTATTCCTCATACAATTTTTATGTACAGAAATACAGTCCCTATATTTCCTCATTAAAAGTTCATATGCAGTACAGCTGTATGATTATTCCTGAAGTTCTTTGTTGTACTTCGTAGAAAAAGGAACTAAGTTTTTTTCCTAGAAACATAGGATAGTCAGAAACACTAGAATGCAATAGAACTGGTTACGATGTATTCAGCTTAAGAAGCTACTCAGAAACAGGATTGTATATCCTTTTTTAAAGACTCTGTAGTTCTATTCCAATCTTCTCTAAATGGCTTAGTTAATATATCACTGCAGTACAGCATTCCCATCCTGGAAAGACCAACGATGGTAGGCAACCCAAAACTCTTGTGATCTATTGCTGCTAACTACCGTGACTAGAACTGAGAGAAGTCAACATCTAAAACATGGGGTTACCTATCCAAGACATTTTGGCTACTAAGGTATATTTGTATAGTTATCACTACAAAATGGGAAACTCATTGTATCTGAAAAATCATTAGGGTGTATCAAGTTAAACACATGGGTTTGGTGAAAGCATGGCTAATCAAGTTGCAAGGCTGAGAATTTTCTTTTGTGCATTGCTTTAAAGCTATTCTCTTCTGATTCCTGCTTTACACTGAAGTTTTTGCTTTTGTGTTCTTGGTTTGTTACGTTAATGCTGGGAAATTGTGTTTATGCATGGCAGGTATAAATGGTTTTATTTTGATGATCTTTTTACAATTCATCTTGAATTCATTTTGAAATAAGGTGGACTGTATCTTTTTAAAACAACATTTACTATATATGTGACTCAGAATTATTTATGAATTGTCCCTCAAAATGGAGAACACTAACGGTACCCTTAAGTGATTGAAATATATCTACATCACCCAAATGTGACCAATTGTACACATGAAGCTCAAGGTACATTAAATGGTAGTCTGAAAAGCTAACATTTTAATATCTAGCATTTGAAATGAGAGGCATGAAGTTTAAATAACTGAGACCACTTTTCCAACACTGAACAAGCAAAGTAGCAGAAGTTGGTTATCTTGTTATATATTTCAATGATTAATTAACTGATCTTTATATACTACCAAATTCTAATGGCTCTTGGCAGTTTAAAGTAAAGAGGTAAACAATAAAATTAAATTAGAGTGAACATTATTAAAAATGAATTTAAATAATCAACTACTAAAAGCTTCTCCAAAGAGATGAAGCTTTTCAGGATTTTTTAAAAAGTGTGCAGCAAAGTTGTGCCTCTCAACTTAGCAGAGTATGTACTTTAAGCATCTGGGATAGCTACAGAGAAGTGGTGTGAGAGCTGGACTGGCAAATCTCAGAAGGAAAGAGCCTTAGAACTAGCCTGTCCTATTACAATAGTAGTATGCATGTGTCAACCATTCCTCCAAAACCAGGAAGTGTACAGTCCATTATGCCAGACAGGCAAGAGAAAGCAATTTAAGATTTGAATGTTGATTCTACTATACACAGGGCTTGCATCTTGTACTCTGCAGATGGTGGCCTTCTTCATTAACTGTTTTTCAAGTTCTTGCAATAAAACTGGCATATTATGAGCTATGTCTTTTAATCACTAACTGTTGAGCTTCTTGTTCTGATTGGGCAGAAGCCTGACAAGCATCAACCTCAGATTACTGTTATATGAACGCATGGCAATTATAAGCAAACCTCCTACTAACTCATAACCAGACATTTATTATATTACATAGAGATTGTTCAGGCATCAAATTAAAGAGCTTAGTGGAGACCCCACCAAATAACAGTGATTTGGAAATCAGCTATCACAACTTCTATAAAGGGAACAATAATCAAGATAAATGCTACAACTACTCACTTTTGGGAATTGAGCACAAGTCTGCTTCATGCCCACTAACCATAATAGAAGATGGACATTTATTCAGAAGTAGAGATCACTACTCTACAGCTGCACAAAGCAAGAAACATTGGACCAGGGTAGGGTGGGGTGAGGGGAATCCTGATTTCTTTTTGGGGGGGTGTCCGTAGATAATAACACTAGTATGTTGCAGAGTCCATTCAGTTACCTTGATAAGTTGGTTGTTTTTCACATAATGCAAGGTATTGGACCTGTTGCCACCTGCAACCACAGGAGGATAAGCTAAAATGTCAGCACCACGAGCCCGGCACTCAAATTCAAACTGAAAATAAGATCATCCATTAATTGTTGTAATAAATGCACAGCGTTTATCCAAAACCCTTTCCAACCATGCCTGTGTCTATGTCCGTACTCAGGACAGCAAACTAGCAAAGTATATAGGATACTGTTACGTTTGAATAGGAAGACTTGACTCAGCTTTCTCAATACAGGTGGTCCTTGCTTAACCACCACTCGTTCAAACTTACAACAGTGCTGAACAAGTGGTGTTTACAACTGGTCCTCATACTTATGACAGTTGCAGCGTCCTTGCAGTCACATAATCACCATTTGCAACCTTCTTTGTCAGCTTCCTATAAGCAAAGTCAATGGGGAAGCCGGCAGGTCACAAAACGTGATATCCTTGCTTAATGACCCACAGTAATTCACTTAACAACGGCGACCAGAAATGCTGGAATTTCTGCTGCTAAGCGGCGAAGTCATGTGACAACACTTTTTACAACTGCATTGTTTAGCGATGGAAATTCCAGTCCCAATTACTGTTGTCAAGTGAGGACTATCTGTAATGGATCTATATCATCGTTTGCTGTGAGGAAAAAATGAGCAACCATATAAAGGGTATTCCGAGCTCCTTGAAGGAAACACAGAACGTCAACCTAAAGAGCAAGCTACTGCTGAAGTAGAAACCCTAATAGCCCCAGCTACTGTAGCCAGTGGAGAGGAATTCTGTGGTTCAGCATCTTCTGGAAAGCCACACATTTCCCTTCCCTCCTACAGTATAGGAATCTAGTGTGCTATGGGAAGCAAAAGTATAAAACATCTGTGGGGTTGTTTTTCCAGAAAAAAAGTGCCAAAAACTTGGTGATTGTTTTGAAACAGCAAAATCGAAGGTACTTTTTCATGTCTGCCTCCATCTATGCCCAACATTTCTCCCATCACCTACATCTATCCTGCTGTACAATACTTCTGATTTTGGCACATTTCCATAGACAGGCATTGGTTTCTTAGGAGCAGTAAACCAGCCACAGGATTTCTTTCACTAGATGAAAGTAACATGAAACACTAGGAGGTACTTAACCTCATTAAGTAACTTTTTCATAGTAGGCTGTATTTCCTACTCAATTTTGTTCCTTTTGAAAAGGAAGAGACTTCTAGTCTGTACTTATTCTCACATTCTCATTATGTTTGAGGGGGTGGCTGTTGGCACTCTTAACTGTACATGAGAGCCAAAACATATTTTGGGATACTAATACATGTGTAGGAGAATGTTTATAGGGAAAGATACTTCTAGATTAAAATGTGCTAATACATTAAGTAACACTTTGCATTTGCATTAATTTTTCCTTGAAATTTCAATTCCATAACATGTATTCTCAGGGAAAGTTAATGTTCAGGAAACCAAGCATAATTAGTGCTGGGAGAGCAAACTCCTCTCATTGTTCAGATGAAAGGCTATCAGTAGTCTCCTATGCATGTCTACTCAAAGCAAATCCTATTAAATTCAGTGGGACTTACTGTCACACATTACGGATGCGTACACACTGGGTGTGTATGCAATCTAAAAACTGGCTGCCACACTACACTGAATGAACACTTATGGGGTTTTTGCACAATCCAACAAAGCACATACCTTAGCATACAGAAATGCTTCATCCACTGGAGCTTTACTTGTAAACATTGTCTCTATGAATGCCTGTTAAAATACAGTAATAAAACCACTGATGAATATGTTTGTTTCCCAGTTTTAGGTCAAATATTCAACATAAAGGCATAATTTAAAAGATACATTACCTCCCCCTTACAATATTCACCCATAAAACAACTACAATCAATGTCCTTATTTTCCAAGACTTTTTCAAGCACTGAGTTAATACTGTATGCAACAATAAAAGCTGCAAAATCCCACACATTCCTCAGTGGACCTCCCAAAAAAGACAAAGGGATTAGCTCTCCTAGGTCTGATCCTAACCAGTGAGGAAGACCTGGTTGAGGAGATGAACATATCATCCTTGGGTTCAATATACTATCAAATGAGAAACTGGATAATGTAAATGTACACTAGATTTCAGGAGGACTAGTTTCAACAAGCTAAGAGAAGGACCAGATGGGATACAGTACCATGAACAGAAATGCTCGGGTCAAAAGGAGCACAGGAATGTTGTGAAGTTCTCAAAAATAAGATACTTGGAAATACAGTTGCAAACCATTCCAATGAGGAAAAAAAATGGAGCGCAGTTTAGGAAACTACTGTGGATGCAGAACAGATATGCACAAGAAATGGAAGATAAATGCAATCATTCAAGGACATGTATCAACAAATATCTAATATCTATAAAACTTAGCCCAAGCACAAAAGAAAGCTAGGTTTGTAACAAAGGGGCTTTTAGGGATTTGTCAGTAACAAAGAGGAAAGAGAAAAATGGAAGAGGAAAAGGGATTCTCTTTACAGAGTCATTAAAGAGCAATTAGAGGAAGGAAGAACACTAGATCTAGGGCAAGGGAATCCAGTATGAGAGAATATCAGAAGCAACAGACAGGACAAGAACAATGAGAACAGAGTGATTTTGGAGATGAGGTGGTAATTGGTGGACCTGGTGAAAGCAGAGAATGAAAACTTTATTAGAGATGGTCAGAAATAGAGTTGGAAGAAGAGTTAAGACATGATTTTAGGAAAGAAGATAAAGATTAGAGGAGGATGCTGCCCAGAGTCACTTTGTGAGAGATGGGTGGCTATATAAATGTGATATATAAATAAATAATAAATAATTTTTAATAGTAAAAAAATAGAGGATCTACAAAATAAAGGATCTACAAAAGAAATTGGCTGAAAGTTTTAAAATTCAAAGGGGAAATACAAATGATAAACCAAGAGAGTGACCGGGACAATTTTTCTCTATTGGACTTACAAAAGAGACTTGTTAAAACTTTGAAGAATTCTGTGCGATGGGACAAAGAAGAAATGAAATCAAACCCTATGACAATATTTGAATGAACTGAAGATTAAGACTGTTAGGAAGGAATATAAAGTTGGTTTATTTGATCAAGGTTAAAACAAGGTATGTTCTTACTTCTGGCAATTCTTTATGGACTTTCTGTTGAGACCAGGACTGAAAAGATGATGCTTTATGGATTTGTCTATAGATAAGGGGTGGGATATGGGATGAAAAGATAATTGTTTGTAACCTTAGAGAGGGTGAAGAGTCACTAAATTTGTTCATACTTGTTGTGATGAAGGTTGGAAGTCACTTCTTTATATACTTCTTTTCTATTATATTCTTACTTTTTTCTTTCTTTTTTTCCTTTTTCCTTGCACTTTTTATCCTTTCTCTTCTCTTCTCTTTTAGTTTGTATTAGATTTTACTATTATAATCAAAATTATTAATAAAATATTAATTATGAATAAAATCAAAAAAGGGAAAAATTACCAGGTATTAGTAACAGTGTATTTTTTATTATAAAAAATACTATGTTCAAAAGGTATCTATTTGAACTATTTTGAATATCTTGCCCAAGGCATCAGGTATGACTTCAAATATAGATTTGTAAAAGGCACAAATGCATTTTAAACATGCTAATTTGCTTCTGATTATGATGTATTACAGAAACATGTTTAATTTCCTTTTGAATGGTCTTTGTCACACTAGCTTATATGATTATAATATTATGTGAAACATAGGTGACTATAGTAGTACTTGTTGACAGAAGGCTTTCCATAAACACAAGGATCTCATATTTTACTTATGGAATAAATAAACAGCATAGTTCCAGAAAGACCTTAGTGAAAAGATGCCAGCTATATCTGTATGTCATTTCCCTTTTGACATGAATTCCAATATCATGCCATTTTTTTCTCTTAACACCTTGTTCAACATAAATGCTTTGATCAATACCCGTGATGTGACTTTGGCAGCAAATTTCATCCTCTCAATCTCTGTAGGAGATTTGATCAGCCGTAAGTTTTGCACTAGATGCTGGACAGCACGAATACGGTTATTGCTTCTAGCTTTGACCTCAGCCAGATGTAGCAGATAATCAGAATGGAGCTGTGGATGCACAGGTTTAGCAAAATCATACCAAACCATGCAAGATTCATCTGTGAAACAGAACATAATACACGTTAGTTTAACTAGCGACACTTCTTTGGAGAGATGTTTGCATATTTTTTTGGTAAATATCAGATTGCAGCCAAATTTGTGATAACAATTCAAATTATGGGTAAATAACAATATCCTTAACAAGAGATGTTACTTTGATTTTACAGTATTTTGAAACCTGCCTGAAAGGAATCAGTAATAAGAAATATTCATGAAGCTACTTTTCCTAATCCACTAATAGATCAGCTCCTTAGAAACAAAGATGTTTGTCTATATTAACTGAATAAAGAGCGTATGTGTTTTCCCAATATCAATGCAATCATCTTTTATATCAAAAAATTAGATTTCAGGTACATTACAATAGGGGTATTCAACTCTTTTGGATCAAGAGCTACACGTGATCTTTGAACAGAGGGCCAGGAATTCCCTTCAAAAATAGGGAAATGATAAAATGTATAAAAAGTAATTTAAACTAGAATTAAAATAAATTGATTTCCCCGTTAATATTTATTGATTCCTCAATAATCAATAAATATTAATAATTAATTAATATATAGTTATTCCCAATGGATTTAATATTTTCCACTTCCATTGCATTAAAGATTTCAGGTCAGCAACAATAACTTTTAACAGGACTCTGGAGCCACTTCCACAGCTATGGGAGACCACATGTGGCTCTGGAGCTATAGATTATGAATCTCTATACTACAATTTTAACAAAGCAAATCTTCTTTTCAGCATGCACTCCCATTCATGTGGACACAGAAGTAATGTTTTTAACACTTCAAGTGTGTATACGAATGTAGCCTAAACAAATTACCTAGCAGGACTGTGCAAATCCTTTGAAAGAGTTGGATGTTTTTGCACTAATAATGCAACTGTGTCCAAACTGAGTGGCTAATTAGGAAGCTGTTCCCAATTATTTCTGCACGCTTGTGCATGGACAGCCATTTTCTTTTGTGCACTATTCAAGAAAGATTCCTAGAGGTTCCAAATAACTGCTTTCTAAGGATTTGCAGAACTCTATTACCTAGCTCCTTCAGTATGTTGCATGTATACATGACTCTACCCTAATAGTAAGTTCTTAAAGAAAGGAATTCTGAAAGTACAACTTAAATGTTCTCGTTGGAACAAAAGACCAATAAAAATTACAGTTCTATAATAATCACTTCTGTGTAAATAATTGTAATTCACAACTATCAAATATATATAAGCCAAATAAACTTGGAAAAGCACAGTCTTTCATTCTTGCACATCTGCTATCACATGGCCATAGACTGGGCAAAGTAAGGCTCTCTAGACATTTTGGATCTCCAGCCTCCATAAGTCTTAGACAGAATGGCCAAGAGCAAAAGATGGCAGGAATTACAGTCCAATAATATCTATGCCTATTATGCCCTATAATCTGAAATGGAGAGATGAGTCAGTCTGTTCAATTTCACTCCGTGCCTCAGTCTTATAAATATTAATTCATTCCATTCCATTTCTGCATGTGTTTGTGAAACTCATATACATTTCTGTGACTTTTTCCTAACACACATGCATATATGTAAACATACACAATTTTTACAAATTTTGCCCTCAAATATACTACACAATTCCCCATTATATACAAGGTCCTTTGGGATTGGGGCAACCTAGAAATAATGTTAAATAAATATTTGTACATATTTCTGAAATGTAAACTTCAATCACAAAATATTTAGATGTGTACTTAATACTGTATTTCATGTTGCTTACAGTTTTGGAAAATATGAACTTTGCATGTTAATATTTAACTTGCATTAAAATGGAAATTAAACAAACTTGCCCTCCTCTCTACTGAAATTATGATTTTCCAGTTTTTTTCTGTGAAGGCAACCAGGGAGCTACAAGTGCAAGATTTTAACAGGGTTCACTTCTCACATTAAGCTATGGTTTCCTTAGCTATAGCTTATGAATAATTGATGTGGGATTCATATAACATGCTAACCATGAACCACATTTTACGGGCCACAATTGTTGGGTTCAAACATTAAGCCAAATTCAAACCATGTTAAGACTTAATGCAGTGCATGAATCCAGCTTTATATCTTGTATCCGTTATGCCCTTGACAGCAAAGTGCTGAAATTATTCAATATCATCCTATTTTATACAATGCAAAATCTGTTTTTTTTACCTTTCAATTTAGATATCAGATGTCTAAACTCTTCCATGGTATATGCTTCATCCACACCAGTGAGAGCCATTGCTCCATCAGTGCCAGATCGTGGCCCATCCCACAGCTCTCGGCTTGGGTCCCGTTTTGGAACAAATAGTAAAGCTTTGTGATATGGCAAAGATCTGCCAGGCACACTTTGCAACACTAAGATACTATCAGGTTCTTGAAACCCGCACAGATATAGGAAGTTAGTGTCCTGGTGAAAGGTATATGGAATATCATTGCTCATGTAGTACGTGGGGTTTGAAAGCAGAATTACTGTGTGATCTGGCCCTGGCACTTCTTGCTGTATCTGAGCCATCAGCTTGTGTCTACGGAGAGCATATTCCACTTGTGATAATCCTGGTGTTACTTCTCCTGTGAATAGAATTCAAAAACACAATTCCTCTTTCAGAAACAACTTTTCATGCTGTTGAACCCTTACAATTTTATGATACCAATCCCATATTTTCCATCTCATCTGCTTTCCACTCATTCTTTCTGTAGTCATGTCTCCACATTCCTAGTTCAACTTTAAACTACTTTTTCTCTATTATTAATATGAATAACAAAAAAATGTGTAAACTTGAGTTCACAAGGGATTCCAAAAGCTAAACTTAATGTAAGGATTATGAGTAAAAATTATTACTGGGAGACGGGAACAAAGAAAAGTAAGCTTGAATTCATTTAAAATACTACATTTTTATAACGTTTGCACATTGAACAGAAGATGGCAGAGCTGGTTGCACTCTTTTAATCTGATGTCAGTATGGATATTTCATTACCCAACAATAACTTCTCCAAGAAATACTGAGCTTCTAACATTGAATTTAAATAAGGACCTTTAATATAATAAGCTCTGTATCTAAGAGAATCCGAAAAAATAGAATTTTCTCAGAACCTGATTTAATAATTCAATCTAATTTTATCTACAAAGATTACAATGTACAGAAAACAAAACTGGTCTAAAGACCAAAGAGCTGATTGTAAATAGGATCTATTCTTTGTACAGTCTAAAACCAGATTTGCATTTATAAATGCCATTAAAATGAATAGAATTTAACACTTGAGAAATGTGAGAACTATACTTTCTGAATCTTAAACAAATCTACCAAAATGTTCTAGTGGAATCAAAAGGTCTTATTTCCACATAAAATAAAGAATATGCCCCTATTATTTGAAGATATTATTTAAAACTGTAAATATCTGTGCCTAACACATGGACATACTATATTATGTACTTAAGGTTGTTAGCTTCTATTTTTAATTGCTTTTATTTATGATATATTTTCCTGGCTAGAAGCCCCTGAGTTATGTTCTGCCCATGAGAAGAATACCTCTTAAAAACTGAGGGGAGAGAAAAAAGAGAGGCAATATTTTCTAGACTACTAGACCTCTAAGCAATTCCAGAGGATTGTGGGACATCTAAAACAGTATGGGAGGTACTATAAGTGGCTGCTTGAGAGAGAGGGAATCTGAAAATTTGTCTCATTGTTAGGTATTACAAGTCCACATTTAGAGGGACTATGATAGTGAATTCTGGTTGCAGGGAAACAGCAGGGACAGGTTGCTGCCTTTATGTCCTAAATGTGATCTCCTTAACAGCACTTTGCTGGCTCTTGTAGGAAACATAATGATGGACTTTGGTTTGATGCTGTAGGACTTCACTTGTGTCCTTTATAAATAGATAATGGTTCAACTAAATACAAGGCTATTTTCCATGTTCAATAGCAACAGAATTTTCCCTGAAAGGTATCCATTTTTAAAAAGTTCTCCATTGTTTTTCAAAAGGAAGCAAAAAATTATAAATATGGGATACTGTTTAGATTAAAATGTTGTTTAGCTTTTTTCTTCCATAAATCATATCACAGTACACAGTTTAATTTTAAAATATTAATCTATTTGCAGTAAGCAATTTGCTGACCCAAGCCAATTGTTGGGCAGTAGCATCACTAGCCAAGATGAAAATAAGACATTTTCCATTGCTCAGAAGGACAAATGCTGGCCACATTGTCTACTCAGATGCCAGCTACTGAAATCTTCTGTGATACAAATACACGTGAGTGGTATTGATATACCATTATAATTATCTAATCAATATTCACACACAATCACAAATTTCAGTTCTTAAAAGACAGCTGAATCTAGAAAGAACTTTCTAAACAGCTGAATCAAGGAAAGCTACTCACATAGGCTTTCACAGGAGCATAAATCTAATCAAGTTAACAGTTGAAAAGATAGGATAATTAAATAATGCACATCAACCACAAACATGGTATTCTATATAAATTTATTAAACTAATTTGACTGAAAGAATAACTTACAAATAAACATGCATAAAATCAAGCTACATGTTTGGAGAGAGTCAAAACTACTAACAAATAATGTCACAGGAATACATATGCAGGAAAATATTGATTTTTGGAAAAATACATGGTGAAACAAAAACAAAATTCAGGCCCTGATGAATTTCTCCATTTTCTAATATGAATAAAATGGGTCCTAGGTCCTATTTACAAATGTGAATCAAGCAACCACAGGTATTTATTTCTAACTGATTTTGATCCACTATTCTGTCAAATGAAAAACATATTGTTCAAACAACAGAAATTACAAAATGCTTAGCTAAAACAAATAAGAACAGTGTATTAATAAAAGGAACAAAACCTTCATGGGAGAAAAATGATATTCACAGGTAATCTGAAGGTCAATAAAGAATGACCCAGAATTTCTCAGTATTTCCATGTCCGAGCAGCATGACATCTGCTTCTGTCTCTCATGTCCACCTTCCATACCTCTGATGACAGACTAACAGGGCTTTCAACATGGTTTTCTGACTTTGGGTGTAGTTCCTTATGACAGAAGGAAGCAATTCTTCTGATAGAGAGCAATTGCTATGACTTTTTCCAGCTGTTCCAAACACGGAAATTTTTGCTGGCATTACTTGTGATTGAGCGATTTATACAAATATATATATCCAGAGAACATGACTTGAATTTTTGGAAACGCTTTCTACCTGGAACATAAAATATCCTGAATAGAAATTCCTTGAAGGATATAAAATTCTTTTTTTCCATGTTGTTCCTTAAGAATATTATTAAAAAGTCAGATGTTAAAGGGTAGTGTCAGTGGTTGTAACTTTATGCAAACTTGCCTGGGATTAAATTTCTCTGAATATTTACTTCTCACTACAGCAAATGTGCTTAGAGTTGAATTATAATTATCCTTACCTGGTTTAAGAAGATGTGGGTGTGTGAAAGGACTAGGTTGACCTAGGTATCGATTTGGAATCTTCCTTTGTTGAACTGGTTGAATGGATAATTTCCGAAAGAAACAAAACTTGCAGCCTAAAATGAAACAGCTGAATTGCATCAGGTTGAAATATTTTCCCCTTTGACTCTGCAATAAGAGCCAAAATGAAGGTTTGCCATTCTTAAGCACTGTTCATCTCATTTTGCTTCAAAGGTAAACGTTTACCCAACAATTCTAATGGGTACTTTCCCATTAACAGCATTAATATGAATACTTGAAAAAGCAATAAAAGTTCTAGAATAAGACTGAACATTTTAATATATTTCATTGGCTGATTGTGATTAAGTTTGTTTTATACTTTGCATTTTTATTGATGTAAGTAACCTTCAGTGATGGAATAAATAGAAAGGTGAGGTATACATTCAGCAATAGATACCCACATTTATAAATACGATGGTAAAGACAGAATGGTTTTGCAAAAAGTTCAGAATTAAAAAAAAATAATTCCAGGAATGGCTCCCTTATATACTACACGTCACATAGCAAGGCAAATTTAGCTATTTGGAATACAGTATAGCTTCTGAGAAGAGAGTCATTTAACCAGCAAAAATAACAGAAAAGATGATTTAAACAGATATTAGCAATAATCTTCAATGTTGAATGTTGAATGCAAAGTACTAATATTTAGGTTAGCAGTTGGGAAAACAAATGGAAGGGAAGAAGAGAAAGTTTCACTAAAAAGTCTTTCTATATTTTTTACTCATGCTTTATCAGTAGTTCTTTCTTATTCTGTGCTTTGTATGTTTAACTTTCTAAATATCTGTTAAAAGCTTAAATTAAAAAAAATAAAAATAATATTTCTGACCTTGGCATTTATTTCCTTTACTAAAGTTGTAAATGCTATGGTTGTGGCACTGATTATAATATTTTCATTTACACAATAAATCACCCAATCTTCTCCATAGTTTACAGAATTTTAGAAATGTCTGCAAATTTATTAAAAAGGAAAAACTGAAATATCACATTGGCATAAGTACCCAGACCCTTTGCAACAACACTTGCAACAACACTTGCGCTCAGGTGCCTCCCATTTCTCTTGATAGTTGCTGAGCTGTTTCTATACCTTGATTGGACTCCACCTGTGGTAAATTAAATTGATTGGACATGATTTGGAAAGGCACACACCTCTCTATAGAAGGCCTCACAGCTGACAATCCATACTGTATCAAAGCAAAAGCCATGAGGTCAAAGGAACTGCCTGCAGAGCTCAGAAACAGGATTATTACACATCTGGGGAAGGCTACAAAAAAATTTCTGCTGCACTGAAGGTTCCCAAGAGCACAGCGGCCTCTGTAATTCTCAAATGGGAGACGTTTTGCACAACCAGGCCAAACTAAGCAATCAAGGGAGAAGAGCCTTAGTAAGAGAGGTGACCAAGAACCTGATGGTCACTCTGACTGAGCTCC